CTATATAACTGTTTTAATCATAAATAAGTCATCAAAAACAAATCAACAGTTAGGTCTGCATATAACAACGAGAGGTTGAAATGAATTTAACTGAAAGGTTATAATGCACACATCACAATGTTTTACAGTTACATTCAAAAGTTAATTAAACAACATTATTATGAACGTATGGCAATAAAATTAGCATCAGAATATAGTTCATAATTCAAAGTTTTATATTATCCAAGTTTAATTTCTTCACTTTAAAATATTTAAAAAAATTCTTAATCTTTACTTTTCTGTTGTCATGTGACATTCAACTATCCCTTTTAGTTTGTGTAACTTGAATAGTACAGTATCCACACTGTCCAATAAATAACCACAAGGTCAAATTTACAGTTTTGATGTACTACCATCTCTCACAAGGTCAAATGTATAGTTCGATGTCCTACCTTCTCTCACAATGTCAAATGTACAGTTTTGATGTCCTACCTTCTCTAACAAGGTAAAAAAAACAAAACAACAGGCTGTATAGGACCTTTACTGTCTTAACCAAAAAGACTGTATTCACAAGTCATACAATAACTTGTGTAGGACATTTAGTGCTTTAAATACAGACTGTACTCACAGGCTATGCAACAGGTTGTACAAGACATTTACTGTCTTAATGAAGAAGACTATTCCAAGGCCATTAAATAAGTTGTGTAGGACATTTAGTGCTTTAAATAAAGACTGTATTCACAGGCTATGCAACAGGTTGTATAAGACATTTACTGTCTTAATGAAAAAGACTATTCATATAGTGAAACATCTTTGACAAATGTACTTGCAGACTATGTTTACTCAATACATCGATTAAAACAAAAATATAAAGAATTTCAATTTAGAAAGTTAACTTAGACTTTGGTATCAATTAGTACAAGTTTAACCAAAACATATTAATGCCTTACATCACAAATCTTCACCAGTGTCGAGCGAGGCAATTTCTTCAAGAAAAGCTTGGTGATTTTTTTTGATGATGTTTTCTTTGGCAATCCTTTGATATTCAAACGGTTGTACCAATCCAGAAATGCTGTGGGAGGAGACAACATCAACATAAAAGATTTCACATACTGCTTGTGATCAGGCAAACCCGTGGATTTCATCCAGAAATGACCAGCCAGTAGGAATTTCATAAATTGTTTAGGGTCATTAACTTCCCTTGGGCCAGCTTCCATAAGTCGCCTGAAGATGAAATGAATAATTCAAACTAAAAATTATCTTTTAACTTATAAATGTAATGTAGATATACCTATAAAAAAAAAAAAAGGTTAAATCAAATATTAGATTATTTTGTAAATGCTAAATACCGTTTGAAATTACTGAGCTTAAGTGGCTTAAATGTATTGAACTATCATAAACTTTAATGTTACATTTAAAAAAATTAAAATAAAATGACAAGAGTCGACGAGGAGCCAACTACAAAGATATTGCAAAAAAAAATTATGAATTACATAGCAAACAAGGAAATTTCTTTTTCTCCAGCAACTACATTAACTATAGGTATGCAGAGTTAGTTTGTTATTAGGTTAAATTGTTTTTACTTGCTTGTAAAATGTTACACAATAGCTCATAAAATCTCCATCAACAGTAAAAAGTACACTTTATATATAATAAAATACATTCATATTCCAAACTATAAATTACATAGTTAAGTTTCTCTAAAGATAATATACATCTTTTGTCATTTACAAGTACAAGCACATAGTAAAGTGTCTACTTACAAAATAATATCATACCTGATCACTGGATACACAATTTTCGGGTTCTTCTGTCTTAACAGTACACTCTGTATTATAACATCCCAAATATACTCGCTCGTATTACCTGAAGACAAAAAACAACTTTTTTTTTATTAATCCTATAAATGACAGTTACTCAGAGTCTCAATTATTAAAACTTTATGCCAAAACAAAATATTGAAAGAAAGTCGAGCATCAAACAGTGTAATAAGAATAACTTATCAATAAGACTGTTGTAGAGTAACAGATGCAGCTACAAGAACACTTAATTGTCTTGAAACACTTAACAACACACCATGTTCCAAATTTATTACAATGATTACTAATCAATATGATCACCTTTTTTTTAAATTATTGATTAACTACTAATTTTATAAACATCCTAAGTTTTGGCTGCTAAACTCCTTCCATCTGCAATGGAGTACTGAGAAAGGCTATTACGTACGTGGCCGAGCCAAGATTTGAACTTGGGTCTTCATTGGAAATAAGTTTGAATTCTGGCTGTGCTACATCAAAAATATCTCTTGTCAAGACTTGTAGCAGCCAAACTGTATGATGATAGTAAATAACTAATTATATACAGGCCACTAATCATGTCAACCATTGGATTTTGACCTCAAACAAGCACCATATTCTGTGGTGAGGATCATAATAACTTTATCTAAGCTAAAAAGTAAAAATAGCTTTAACATTTAATATATATATATATATATATATATATATATATATA